TGTATTTGAGAAAAACATTTGTGTCATAATGATATTTCCCCCCATTTTAAATTCTTATTCTCCAGTGAAAGGTTAGATTTATGTGAATTTTTTTAATAAAAGATCAAAATGATTAGCAATGCAGATTTATTTTCACAGCCTTCTTTGATCATATTTACCAAGGGTGCCAATAATTCTGACCACGACTGTAGATAGAATACAAAAAGATTAGAAAAGCTAGTGTAATTATTATTAATTATTAGTGTTAGTTTTTTTTTATAAATAGAATTAGAATAGAGAGTGCTAGAGCTAGAGGGTCAAAAAAAGATGGAAGAGATTTATATATAATTCTAATTCTAAATAGAATTATTGCAATCAACAATTCATCAAATACCATTAAATATATAGGCCCTATGTGTTCTTTGCGTATGGGATGATATTAGACTCTAAATGATTAATAGATGCACGCACAATTATCCATGTACTGCATACATTTTATACATGTATCTTACTAACCACAAACAAATGCCTTTCAATTTGAGTCTGTGGAATTCGGGATGAAATGATTGTGCAGCGATTTGTACAAATAAAGAGATGTTTGTGAATAAACATGTTCTGTTCTGCATTAATATATCATAAATTGCTAATGCAAAAAGGAATCTATGCATATGTGGATCAGGTGACACGCATGCATTAATTGATGTCTAGTTCGAGTCGATCTTGTTCGGTTCATTTGGATTTTGAGACTTTAACTCTGCAGACACCGGTTGAAAAGCATTTGTTTTAGTGTAGTGAGGCACATTTGCGATTTTTTCAAATCGTGTACACGTTAATGAATTGCACTGGGCCTTGTTCGTTGGTAGTTGTGTGTGTGTGGGACGTGAAATGCTGTAAACTGCGAAAATGAAGTCTCAAAATCCAAATGAACCGAACAAGATTGACTCGAACTAGACGTCAATTAATGCACGCGTGTCACCTGATCCACATATGCACAGATTCCTTTTTGCTTGAGCAATTTATGATATATTAATGCAGAACAAAACATTTTTATTCACAAACATGTCTGTATTTGTACAAATCGCTGCACAATCATTTAATCCCGAATTCCACAGACTCAAATTGAAAGACATTTGTTTGTGGTTAGTAAGATACATGTATAAAATGTATGCAGTACATGGATAATTGTACGTGCATCTATTAATCATTTAGAGTCTAATATCATCCCATATTTGCGGGGCTTGTTTTGTTTTATGGATGGCTTGTCTAAAAACACCAATAAGACAATATTACCTACTACTCTTCCTTTTAATTACACAAATATTTCATTAAAAATGTCTACAAATGTATAAAGCGGATCCGAGATCAGATAAAAACCATAGCCTACTGGTTCAATTGTTCTCATTCATGGGTTCACAGAGATCGCCCCCGAACGGCAAACCATTGAACTTTCGAAACATTTCAGAGCGCTCATTGCTGAAATCACGTGATTTTGACAGTCTGATACGGGCTCCGAGCCATTGGTTCGAAACAAATGATTCTTAAAAGAATCGAATCTTTAAGTGATTCGAAAGCACCCATCGATTGAAACGGTTCATTGAAATGAGCTACTGGGAAGAACCGATTCGCAGAAATGAGTCGGTGGCTTTTTCGTCGCTACAGTGTTACTTACATCCATCATAGTCCTCCAGCCACTGGTTTTGCCGCTCAATAGAGGCTCAGGGAGAGCCAAACCTGCATTATTAATGCACACGTCAACTCCCTGATGTTGAACTTTGATCCAGGAGAACATGGATAACATGTCGTCCTCTACAGACAGATCACATTTATATGGGATCAGAGTGCCGCTGAATCCACTACTGACACATTCAGCAGCCAGTTTCTGCAAGACAAAAGAACACACGATTCTTCAGCCGGTGCCTAAACATGTACTTCTCGCGAGTGTATGCTATAAAGCGTATGCTAACGGTGCATTAACTGTTACCTCTATTTGCTCCACATTTCTGGCACAGCCGACCACCTTCATGCCATGCTGGACAAGAGACTTTGCGATTGCAGCTCCGATTCCCACTGAAGCTCCAGTGACAAGAGCAACCCTGCCTTTCCAGCGATCCATGTTGCTTGTTACTCTCTCACGAAGAGCTTCTTCTTCTTCTTCTTCTTCTGTTTATTGGCGGTTGGCAGACTAGCTTATTAGTGCATTACCGCCACCATCTGAACTGGAGTGTGGAGCATCGATGCATGTATATGTATCACATATGAATGTATATCATACTCACGAAGATCAGGTCCTGGACAGCTGATTGTAGTCACAGTGATCAGGGTTGCCAGGTCCAGCAAAGCTTTTCAGCCCAAAGGTGTTTTAACACCTGCTCACACCGCCCGAACACACCCTCGTACACTACACGTTCAGCATTGGTTTTATCTGATTTGAGTGATTTTAGCTAGGCTTAATTACCTTTTTTATTATTTTATTAGATTTATTTTATTTGGTACGTAATTTGATAATCTCCTTTTAATTTGTGTTTTTCATTCTCTTTAAATTAATTTGAATTAAACATGCAACATGCATGTTTTGGATGAGTATAAAATTAATAAAAATTTTGATACTAAGAGGTAGGCTACAGGTGGTATGTGTTTATGCTTATGAATAAATGAATTAATTAGTATGCTTATCCCAGTCTTTTTGATATTGTCTGCCACTCAAAATAAAGTTTTTTTTTTTTCTTTGAATTTAAAATTCTAAAAGTTGCCATTTCCTTCCTTGCCAGGTATTCAGTACCAATAACAAATCACCCAACTTGGAACATCAATGAATAATCTGTCTTCTGAGAATCTGGCCAATGAGAACACACTTCCTTTTTATTCCATACAGCTCTTAACAGGTGCAATAAATACTAAAAAGTGTTCAGCCTGGTAGCTCCAGCAACCCTGCCTTTCCAGCGATCCATGATGCTTGTTACTCTCTCACGAAGAGCTTCTTCTTCTTCTTCTTCTGTTTATTGGCGGTTGGCAGACTAGCTTATTAGTGCATTACCGCCACCATCTGAACTGGAGTGTGGAGCATCGATGCATGTATATGTATCACATATGAATGTATATCATACTCACGAAGATCAGGTCCTGGACAGCTGATTGTAGTCACAGTGATCAGGGTTGCCAGATCCAGCAAAGCTTTTCAGCCCAAAGGTGTTTTAACACCTGCTCACACCGCCCGAACACACCCTCGTACACTACACGTTCAGCATTGCTTTTATCTGATTTGAGTGATTTTAGCTAGGCTTAATTACCTTTTTTATTATTTTATTAGATTTATTTTATTTGGTACGTAATTTGATAATCTCCTTTTAATTTGTGTTTTTCATTCTCTTTAAATTAATTTGAATTAAACATGCAACATGCATGTTTTGGATGAGTATAAAATTAATAAAAATTTTGATACTAAGAGGTAGGCTACAGGTGGTATGTGTTTATGCTTATGAATAAATGAATTAATTAGTATGCTTATCCCAGTCTTTTTGATATTGTCTGCCACTCAAAATAAAGTTGTTTTTTTTTCTTTGAATTTAAAATTCTAAAAGTTGCCATTTCCTTCCTTGCCAGGTATTCAGTACCAATAACAAATCACCCAACTTGGAACATCAATGAATAATCTGTCTTCTGAGAATCTGGCCAATGAGAACACACTTCCTTTTTATTCCATACAGCTCTTAACAGGTGCAATAAATACTAAAAAGTGTTCAGCCTGTGAAATTTTCACAGGGTTAGTTATATATTATACACTGAAACACTAAAAATGCTGGGTTAAAAATAACTCAGATTGGGTTATTTTGGCAACCTTTCGCTGGCTTGTTTTTAACCCAACTAGTTGGGTTAAATGATTGACCCAGCATGCTGGCTTGTTTTAATTAACTCAACTATTGATTGAAAATTACTATTGCTGGCTTAAAATGAACCAAAAATAGGTCAGAAATTAAAAATCACACAGAATTACTAGAGGCAACAGTAATAATCAATTAGTGAACATTTATTAAGAGAAAACACCTAAAAGTCATTGTATGACCATGCGTTTGTTTGGTTTTTATTGCTTATATTTTGGCTGAACATTTACCAATACAGAAAAACAAGAATACAGCAATTATAATCATAAAAAAACCCAAGACCAGTTTTAAAGTTTTTAAGTCTTAAGTATTCTCATCACATGTGCAGCCATGTTCTCTATGTCCTCTATAATATGCTGTATAATGTTAAACAGTGTCCTTTTGCGCTTGCTAATTTATACTTTCCACAAAAAGAGCGTTCTACATTCTTATAACAGGGACTATTGTGCAGTAACGTTTGCATGCAAAATTTGGGACACAGAATACAGCAATTATAATCATAACAAAACCCAAGACCAGTTTTAAAGTTTTTAAGTCTTAAGTATTCTCATCACATGTGCAGCCATGTTCTTTATGTCCTCTATAATATGCTGTATAATGTTAAACAGTGTCCTTTTGCGCTTGCTAATTTATACTTTCCACAAAAAGAGCGTTCTACATTCTTATAACAGGGACTATTGTGCAGTAACGTTTGCATGCAAAATTTGGGACACAGTTAAATATATATATATATATATTTTTTTTACAACAGTTAATATAAGTTCAATAGATATCAAAATTATGATTTTTGTATAATTAATTTTCAGCTAGATAAATTCCAGAAGACCTCAAGCGTGGGATGTGAAGAGGGTGCATATGTTTGACTACCTGCCTTACATACTAGATAATTTTATGTTAGATATACATGTTGAAGCCACACATGGCTGAATGACAATAAAGTTTGATTCGCCATGAATTATTTGATGAATGATAAATATCTTGCTTCCGAGTAAAACCTCAACATAAATCAGACAGTGAGAACACAGAGGGATGTGAAAATTGAGCTGACAAATAAGGCAGTGCTAACACAAAAAACATAACTCCTAGAATAATACACTTCACGTCCGTACCGCAGCTGAACGGGGCGGTGTGTATTTACCATGGCAGTCCCGTCAGAAAACGTCAGGTTTGAAAACGCAGAAAGCTGCAAGACAAACAAAAGACGGCTATATGGTATTCTTTCATTCTTATGATGTGTTAAAGATTCACTTGTTTATACATACAGCAAATTACCTGTTCTTTGCTGAGCGGAATCGCTTTCTCAAATATTGTCCAGACCACAGCTTCAGAGCAGCCTGGTGTGGTGAGGGACCCCTGGTAGCGGAAGTACCTCTCCAATTCATTATGGGGGAGAATGAGCATGTCTAATGATACAGCTGACAGTGTTACATTGGTGCCTAAAAAAGATGTTTTACAAGTTGTCAACAAGTTCCCGTTCTTTGTTCTAAATATAGCCTGTCTGAATAATAATAGATTATCAAACAAGTTCCTCCCATATTAGATATATCGCAACCTTGAGTGACTATAGCACTGCTGTAAACCAAACAAGAAGCAATAAAAACATATTTATCAAGTTTCGAATGGTACATAAAATAACCTTACCAGGATGTGCAATATTTTTCAGAGAATTTATGATGCCATCATATTTTTTATTGGCACTTGGTGATTCCTGTAAAATAAGATGCATGTGATAAAACACTGTTGTATTAGCTGTTAGTAGCAAACATTTAACAAGGCATCTGTTGGTTTACCTCATAAAAAAGTCCAAGGACAGCAACTCCTGAAGGGTCATCAATGGCCTGTTCCACAGAGTTGTAATTTTCTTTAATATGTACAATGTGAAGCTGTTAAGGATAAAAAAAAAATGCATGCTTAGTTTCTTATCGATTCACAAATAAGTAGGAATAAAGCCTGTCTGTTCACCTTATTTTGCAATGCGGAAATTTTCTGTGAATGTGCGAGACTTCTGATTCATTAGCCACTATTGGTTGATAATTAAAGTGCAGTAAACTGTAAAACTATTTGCACTAGTATAAACCAGAGTGTTTATATATAATACGTTAATAAAATAAAAATAAAAATGATAACAAATAGCACTTTGCAATATCACGCAGCATGACGGATTGTTTTTGTACAGCTAAAATAACTGGAAATGGATGATACTGGAAGCCACACAACTTCATTCAACTTACAAATGGACGTCCCTGTTCTTACATTAAAAATAAGATGGATTTCTCAATAGTTACCTCCATAGGGTATTTCTCTCCATCTATAGTATGTTCTGATCCAGGTCCACCATTCTTGCCCCAGTGCAGATGAAGCTGCTGAGCTTTGTAATTGGCTCCTAAATTGGCCCCACTAATTGCTGCTCTGTCTGGCAGATTAACTTGCACTACAGATGATAAAATATATGGCAAAAGTTGTTTATAAAGTGAAATGAATATACAGTTGCCAATAATGGGTAAAGGATATTCACCATGAAAATGTAGGCTATACTTAAGAGTAACTTACCAGTGTGTCCATTGTTTGTAATGAGAGTATCGATTGTCTCTTGGTAGCCTGTAAACTGCACTGGGGTCAGACGACTGTCAAAGACAACTTTCTTTGTTACAATGTTAATAGGTGACTGTTTTGTATTTCCACAGTCTGCGGCTACTATTGCCCAATCATCCGGTCCTATACAAAAAGTCATGTTATGTTAATATAAATCATACACATATGTTCAAAAGTTTGAATGATTTGATGTCTTTGAAAGAAGTCTATTTTGCTCATCAAGGATGCATTTCATTGATCGAAAGTACAGTAAAAGCTGAAATATTGAGTTTTACTCAATTTAAAATAACTGTTTTTAAAATGGCATTTTTTTTCCTGTGATGACAAAGCTGAATTTTCAGCATCATGAAAATTCCTTCAGAAAATCATTCTAAGATGCTGATTTGCTGCTCAATAAACATTTCCTATGATCAACGTTGAAAACAGTTGTGCTGATTAATACAAATTATTTGATTAATAAAAAGTTCAAAGAGACTTCGCTGTCAATTTTTGAGCAATTTAATGCATCCTTTTTTAATAAAAGTGTTTTTTGTTTTTTTTCAAAATAATAAAAATATAAATAAATATCACTGACCCCAAACGTTTGAAAAATACTGTATTTTTTTCTAATAATTTTATATAAAACATTGAACAAGGCACAATGCTCACCTACACATCTTACTTCGGACTGATTGTTGCAAGTTACTTGAGATTGATAGCACCAATCTGAAAGGAAACCAAGTTGACTTATTGCAAACTAATGTATATGTAATATATCGATAATGAAATATATTCACATTTAATTAATTACATGAATACAGACAATGACCAGTGTATGCTGTCTATGTTCAGGCTAAAAAGATTTGAACTGGACCTCTAAAACCTTCAAAGGTGTTTAATTCCATGTTTTAAATCTGAAGTTGTTCAAAAATCAACAACTCTTGTTCTCAGATTCTAATAAAGCTTGATGCACTTCGTAAACTTATAATTCTTGCAAGCCTTCCAATATATACAGTGAAAAACTTCACTAAAATTGATGGACTAACCTAAATTCAGCAGCATCATGTTTAACAGTAAATCTGTTTTTATGATAAATAAGATGACATATACACCATTTAACCTGCTTACCTGCACTTGAAGCAAACCTGCATAAAATGGCAAGTACAGAAAAACAGAGCACATTCATCCTTAATATTTGAATAGAAAAAAATCCACCTGAATGATCAATCCAGCTAAACAACAGGGGAATGTATTTTACGATAGGATACTTTGGAGGTGCATTTTATAAGAGCACAATGACCCTCCCTTTCACATTTTACAACACAAACTCTAGAGACCATAAAACTCATTTGTATTAGGATGGATCATATTCTTACTTATGAGTAATTCAGTGTATCCAATATACTCTAATCTAGTCATGATGACAAAAATGTTCTCCACCCATGAAAAACTTTCACTTGGTTTCAGATAACACATGATAAACCACTTATTATCAGTTATCACTAACTAATGAATAATGTAGTTGCATAGGCCCATCTTTGGAGCAGTAAGCAAACATGACAACAGTAAAATGAAGCTACATTCCATTACTGTTGTATGTATTAATAAAGGTTTTGATACATGGATATACAGCATAACGTAACATAAATACACCTGTGGTGTTTGAATAGAATGTAAGCCAGATCACCAGTTACAGTCTCTGATCTGAACTAGTTAAGCCATCTAGTGGTGACTCTGAGACAGAATATATGGGATCATACAGCATTTAGACCTTTTTTCCCCCCTGAATTGCAGCACTACTTAAAATGCTGACTTGCCCGACATTTCTAAATTGCCTAAAATGTCCAGGTTTTGGCTTTGTTTTGTTTTTTCATAGTGACGTGATCTACAGTCCTCATACAGTATGTACGCGTATTAGCATTGGTTTGACCGTCCTCTGTAGATCCCACCTTCTCGCAGGCCACGATTGGTCGATTATGTACAATACCTGCACGCACAGTCATTACCATCACCAAGTATGAAGAAATGGCCTTCCATACAAAACCGGACATTTTAGGCAATTTAGAAATCCCCGTCAGGGCATGTACGTGGAAAAGATGGTGACCTTACTTAAAAATACAGTAAAATGATAGCGGTGTAAAAGTTTATCATAATTTATGATAACTTTAATGACAATTTATTGATTAATGTTGATGTTGATTGTATTTAAAATGTCTGAAATAATTAATTGAATCTTTATAAATTAAAAAAAATAAATATATAAATGTTGGATTTGTGTATTAAATGTAGCAATAATGAAGGCATTTAGCTCGTCTTACAAACTAAAGGCAAAGATGGTAATTGAATTAACCCTAATCTAAACCTGTCTGGATAATACCCATCTTTTCAAGTAGTTAGTTAAAAGATGCTATCTATACCATGGCATTTATTTCAGGACTTAATCTGGTTTTGAACAGAAATAGGCATATAAAGGATGTCCAGGCTCAACCCCTACTGCTTGAACAGTGAGAATACACTTTATAGACGCAGTTTTTAGTACCGAAACAGTTGTAAAACATTATCAAGTTCATGGAGCTGATAAAGGATCCATTGGTCTCAGTGAATTGCTCAGTGAGTGATTTGTGTGTCTGAGAAAAGGGAGGCAAACAACGTCCTCTAGATTTGACCTTATAGATGCAAACTTCAGCTTTCATAATCTCTGATGCTCGTGTTTCACACACATGCTGGATATGCAAGCTGCTTTTTACTATGTTTGAATAAGTTTTATGTCGATTTTATTGTTTTACCCTTGGCGCAGACACAAATGTGCGATCATAAAATATTATATAATTTAATAGTAAAAAAAAAAAAGAATTATTATATATAAAAAAAAAAAATCCTAAACAATAAGTGAAATAATGGCAAACCATTTGTAAAATGTATTATATATTCCACCAACAAATATACTATAAGTTAGTATGTTTGTTTACCAAGACGACAAACATGTCAGTGATGAGTTACAGAATATTTAGAATATGTGATGTGTGAGGGGAAAAGAAAAAAAATCCATTTTTATTGTGCATCATAATTGTGTGTATTTTGAATATATAAATTGCTAGCCATGAAATTAGCAAGAAGGAAAAAGGCCATTTTGTTCCAAAAATGTTCAAAAAATGTTTCCATAATAGTCTTTGCTTCCAATTAAACATAATACTATTAAACATAATACATTAAATGAGATCAACTGGAATTGACACAGTGGAAATGATCATGACTTAAAAATAATATAAAATAAAGACAGAATACTCCTGTGGTTCATATATACACACTGTTGGACATTATTATTAGACAAATTAAATAAACTAGTGGAAATGAGAAAAGTATGTTTTAAGAATGTTTACTTTCACCAGAGCCAAAACTGCCCATATAATAATCACCCAGGTGCATATAATGGGATGTCTGTAAATGGGATGGGTTTTTTTTGTACAACACTATCATTGTACATCACAGAGAAGTATCTGCACATCCCCCACTTCCTTCTGTGCGTGTCAAACGAGAGTTTGAGGTTTGGGTTGTCTAGACAACCAAGTCTCGTGTACATCATGTTCAGAGAAATAAAAGAGCGGCCTCCTGTTTATCAAACTACCAAATACTCAGGGGAGACTGGGACAAAAGTGTTTAAATTCAAGCATCTGAGGAAAATGACACCGAAGGAAGAGTGTCTGATATTACATTTTCATTTGATAATCTCATAATATGTTTAATCCCGTATGCATATAATATTTCAAAAGATCTACAACTGTTTTACTTATCAGCATCTCACTGTAAAACAATGCAAAATTAGCCATGATTTTAAATTCAACTCATATGACATTTATATGACACAATACCACACCCTCATAAGTATATGTAATATGCTGATGAAACAGTGTGGTTTTGCACAACATAGCAACCACCCCTCCCCCCCAGGAAAGAGCTCTACAAGTGCCGCAAGCCAGATAATGCTTCAAACATTCAAGTTATTATGAAACTATTCATAAAAACACACACAAAACAAGTGTAACATCTTCCACCGGTGATATTTGCTCACAGACCAACACCGCTGTTATTTAAACTGATGGAATATGATGTTTTTAAAGCCACACCATCAGATGCGGAAGCCTGATGCAATCTGATCACATGTTTAGTAGACTTCCTCTTTAATTCTTTGTGTGATTTTTATGTATGCTAAAGACCAAGGGGTTTTTCTCTCATTTCTGATCTGTCTTTTATCAGTTAAAATGCCCTTAAAAGGAATTGATTTGAGTCCATCTTTGAACGAAACTAGTCCAATAGGCGTGCATCCGTGCTTCTTTAAGACAGCGACTGCAGGGCCTCTTCCTGTGGTTTGCACCATGTGGCCTAAAAAGTGTTAAAAGGCGACAACTTCTTTCTCTTTTCGCTGTTGTTTCCGGGATCAAGCGGGCAGAGAACTGGTAAGTCACTGCTCTTCGGTTTAACCTAAAATGTTAGATAAATATGACTACATTTCTGTTTTCAGCTACTAGTAAAGGATGGTAAACTGCTTGATGTAATGTAAATATAATGAGGTGAATATGCTAAAACTTAATGATAGAAAATAATGTTTAAAAAAGTGAATGAACTAGTAGTTACAATACCAAAATGTAATAGTCAATTCCAATGGTTCACGCTGAATCCATTTCACATAGCTACATTTTTTATACAAAGCGGCAAAACTGGAGGTATTATACATTGTTCAATTTTTTATTAAAACATCAATTCTTTTTTTTAAACTAGTAGTTACTAAACCAAAATGTAATAGTCAATTCCAATGGTTCACGCTGAATCCATTTCACATAGCTACATTTTTTATACAAAGCGGCAAAACTGGAGGTATTATACATTGTTTTATTTTAAATGAGTTAATTACACATGTAATATTTCCTTTTCACCTACAGAACAGGCAATAAAAATGACTCTAAACTTCCTGGTGGTTTACAGACACTCGCTATGAACAACTGAAGCTGATGCAGCTGAACATCCAACCATACTAAAACATGATCTGGCTTATTTTATTACATCATTTTGATCTAATTCTCATTTCAGGTTTAACAAATAGTTGTAAAACGAACATTTGGAGCACAGGGAGATAAGAGGAAGCGTGCAAAGAAACAATTGGAGCGCGAAGAGAAGAGGCGGGAACATCAGAGGTACAGTGCAGTCACTCATAAAGTAGACAGCACTACTAAAGGTCTCTACACAGTGTAGTGTTTCCTACTTTATGGATGAGTGTACTGTTGGCTGCGATGGATGATCTTATGGAGAACCAAAGATGCTGAATCTGAATGTCTTGTGAATTACGTATTAATAACGATTGTGTTCCATGACTAATTGTAATGCAGTAATGTTTTTTGAATGCATTCGTCTTTATATTTGCATGTTAACTTGTATCAAACAACTCTGAATTCATTAAACAGTAATAAAATGAACTGCGTAACTGTGTGCGAAACCTATAGTGCAGTTGTTAAACTAACACCAGTGCAGTTGCTGTAAACAGGAAGGACATTACAAAATAGCTCAAATCATATAAAGACATCAGCAGTGAAAAGAAGACGCATAAAGTATAAAAACACAATTATTAAGTTATCATTATCTTTTAAGGCTAAAATGCACTAGCTGCTTCCAAAAGCTCTTGTATTAATCAGAAATCAATTTCCTTTTACATATTTAATTAATGCTAAGCACAGTGCGAAGAGGAAAGGTCAAGTGCATTTAGAGACACACTACGCAATACGTCATTACAGGAAACAAGACACGTTATATGGTTTTTTAAAAAATGGAGCTGGAGCTGAATTCAGTAAAGTGGGTTATAATCACAGTCTGAGGTCACTCTCCTGTTCCTGATTTCTGATTACTCATTTCCTTCAGTCCCAAGGCAGTGGTTGCAAAACGTTTGATGGCACAAGACCTCGATAACCATGTAGATCTCCCTGGATCAATATAAAACAGTATAAAAGAATATAAAAGAATATAAAATATTCTTTAACTTATGACCTTTAAAAAACACATGCATGGTAAACAGAGTTATATTACTCACGTCATAAAATCCATCACTGTCCATTTCCCCCAAAACATAAATAATATCTCCTGCACGAAAGGGAAGCTCATCCTAAAGGAGAAAACAACAATAATAATTAAAAAAAAACATTGATTTCTATTTCATCTTTTAAAATTCTATATTTGTATAAGCACCTAGTTATCCATAAATCAGTACAGGATGTGAAGTCTATGTCCTGATTCTTATCTTTAAAGAAATATAACAAATGAATGAATGAATAAATAATAGATCAGACTTGTTATATTTATAAACTATTTTCATATTCATATTTCATTGTCTATGTGTACAGCCTTTCAAAAGGTCTATAATTGTTTTACTTTTTTCAGCATGTTACCATAAAGCAATGTAATATTATGTGATGTTATTATGTGAAAATGTTACATATTTTAAAATAAAGCATAATGATAATCAATATGTATACTAATTTCAATGTATTAATATTAAAATATCTAAAATATTACTTAAAACATTTTTTATTTAATTTGTAATAGTAAAACATAAAAATGTATAAATACTTTTATATTATAATATTTATAATATAATAAATTATTTCAAATGTTTACATTATATTATAATATCTGGTATGTTGTCAAATAAAAAAAAAGATTTTTTTAGGGGGTATTCACGGGTATAAACCTTGGGGTGGTTACCAGAGCGGTTGCTAGGGTACCCCAGGTGGTTGCTAAGGTGTTGCTCTGCGGTTGCTAGGGTACCTAGGGCAGTTGCTAGGGTGTTGCTATGCGGTTGCTAGGGTACCCGGGATGGTTGCTAGTGTGTTGCTATGTGGTTGCTAGGGTACCCGGGGCGGTTTCTAAAGTGTTGCTATGCGGTGACTAGGGTGTTGCTATGTGGCTGCTAGTGTACCCGGGGCATTTGCTAAGGTGTTGCTATGCGGTTGCTAAGGTATTCGGGGTGGTTGCTAGGGTGTTGCTATGTGGTTGCTAGGGTACAAGGGGTGGTTGCTAAGGTGTTGCTATGCGGTTGCTAGGGTACCTGGGGCGGTTGCTAAGGTGTTGCTATGCGGTTGATAAGGTATTCAGGGTGTTTTTTCATATTTATTGGAAAATGCAATCACCTCAATATCCATGTTTGGAGAACTTTCCCAAGGGTCATAATCAAAGATGGCCACCATCCTGTGGACCTTCACGCCATCCGACACACTAGAAGTTTCACTGGGTGCTAAAATTAAAAGTACAAAGCAGCCATGACTCAATCTCTAAATCCCTTAAATATATGGCTAGTTTTATCAAGTAAAACGAAAGAGAAAAATGTAAATACTTGCCTACGTAAGGCGTCTCCTCTGGTAAAAACCCCTGCTGGAACAGACGAAGTTTAAACTCTCCGTCTTCCACAGGAATCTCAGAAACCATGTTGCTCGGTACAAAACCAAAGCGGCCACCGGTCTCCCCGCTATAGAAGCCGTCAGCATCTTTATCTCCATATACCTACAAAAGAGCACATCTCGCTATCTCTGAGGCTCCCATCACAGCATGAGCTAAGTAGGACAGAAATGATCTGAAGATCACGCGTTTCATTTAGCAGGTTCATGTAAGATGCAAAAGTTCAGATTTACTATTGTGGGGTTCTGAATAATTGTGAATTAAGATATAAGAAGATACAATAGGTAAATAAATAAATAACCATCGTTACTTTAATGATCTGTCCTTGTTCAAAGGGCAGTTCCTCCTCCATTGTTTCAGGGTTTGGTGACATCACCGCAGGGTTGTATGAGAACAGAGCCACAAAGAGGCGCACGTTCGGGTCAAACATTTCCCTCTCGGATTCCCAGTTCTCTATATCTTTTAGTGTAGCAACCGTAAGACCATCTGGATATAGATAGACATCCAGCCCAACCATTCCAGTCTGCTTCTATGCCTGCAACTGTCCAACTGATGCCCCCTCAGTAGGCAGACAGGTGGTTAGCAAACACCCATATGCTCTCTATAGCTTTAGCATTAAGAGCTGTAGCCAAGCTAATCTGCCTCAGACTAATCCTCTTGGAACAAATTAATCAGTTTTACCTGAGACATCATCAACTACTAACCTGACACGTCAAATGGTTATCAAGTCCATTTTGTAAAGTCAGTCTACAAAACTCTTTAGTGAAAGAACAGATTTCACATCATGGACTTGAAGCACTGAGGAACTGGAATAACACTCTGCCAGTGCATTTGGCTCAGTCCTGCTGCGCACAGTCCTGCCGATTAGCTGAGCCATCCGTTCTGAACTGTGCCAAGTAGAGCTAGCTGTCAACCACATTATCATCAAGGAAGTAACCCTACAAGTCCCTTTCACCTTTTCAGGACAATCCTTTACAGTCAACAAAAGGTTTGCATGGGTCAACTTAAGGAAACCAAAAAACATTGTGGAGATATTGTATAAACCAAATACCACAGTCATGGGAGAGAACTTGACTCACGGTTCTGCTGTTGACTTCTCTTCTCTTCTCTTCTCTTCTCTTCTGGAATTTTCTATTTGTATTTGCCATATTCCTGACACTTCCATATTCTGACACTTGAAGTGTTCATACACTACCAGTCAAAAGTTTGGAATATTTATTTATTTACGTGTTCCTTCAGTGCGCGGACAATTTTGTTTTTTTTGGTTGATCAAACTTTTCTTGATTTACACACCTGAGAACGGACTGGTTATCTTTTTGGAGCACATACAATATCTTTTTTGTTTACATGTTGTTGAAAAAAAAAACTCTCTTATGCTTATTATTATTATTCTCGTATGCTTATGCTTATTAAGATTGCATTTATTTGATCAAAATATAATAAAACAGTAATATTGTGAAATATTATTACAATTTAAAATAACAGTTTTCTATTGTAATGTATTTTAGAATGTAATTTATTCCTGTGATGAAAATGCTGAATTTTCAGCAGCCAACAAAAACTGTTTTCAACATTGAGAATAAGAACCATTATTAGTAACTGAGCACCAATAATTATTGCTAATAATTGAGCACCAAATCGATGCCTGGAGTAATGGCAAAAAAAATCAGCTCTGTATTACATAAATAAATTACATTTTAATATATTAAAAATAGATCTTTGAAATTGTAATAATATTTCACAATATTACAATTGAAAAAAAATCAAATTAATGAAGCCTCGGTGAGCATAAGACACTTTTAAAAACATTAAAAAATCAATTACTCAGAAATGTATTAGTACTGTTTCCAAACTGAAGTGTATATGGCAGTTCCAAATGCTTATCAGTTATCTATGATACTTATTAAATATTTATAGAGAACAATGAAAAAGAATCAACATGATAAAAGGCATTTTAATGATGCATTCAACTTTGAGACAATTAGACCCAAGTCTCCCCCATATAAGGGATACAAATTGTACTTGTTTTGTAAAATGACTCATATGAAGATCCAAGTTGCTTGTCTGTTCCATCAGTCTGATATCTAGCACATCTATAACCTTTCTGAGCATGGACAAAACATGAGACACATTATTCTAAATATTACCATAATTGTGTCATCCCCTAAATCCTCCACTCCATACAGGAGGGTCGCTAGATATGGTAATAGGGGGTGACTCATTCTCCCATATTGCATTTGTTCTTAGAAGACCTCTGATGTGCCATCATCATCACTGCTGAGATGTGGCCTCTTGACTCCCATATAAGGACTATTACATCATGAGTGAGGCACCCATATGGCAAACCGTTTTAACATTTATTCTTTAAACATTTCCTATCTTACATTACTAGTTAGTAGTATATAGGCTACTGGTAGTTATACTAGTACATTTACTGTAAATTATTTAATAGTTCTAGTCTTAGACAAATACCTATTTATGCAAACTCATAATAGTATATATCTCAATTGTTACTAGTAGCATTTAGAGAAAAGTAACAACATAAAATTAAGATGACAAGACATTAATAAACGTCTAACACTCCAACTTAATTAATTAAGGACTCTACTCAGACTCAACAAGGTGTACTCGGACCCAACACTAGATGCATTTCTTATAATGTACATATGTTTTTGTAATATTCCACTAGTTACAATTACTGTTTTAACTGTCATATGCAATCGCTAGTCAAAATGGTACTTTACAGTTCTTTGTAGTTTGTTCTGTTATCTTATATAAATGTAAAGAAACAACTGGAATTCGCATTAATGTCTAATAAATACGTAATGGTTTCTTTTAAAAACAAGAAAAAATAGCATACACTCTAAAAAACACTGGGTTAAAAACAACCCAATTTGGGTTTTTATTAACCCAAGGGCTGGGTAAAGATAGGACAGAACCCATCTTGGGTTAAATTTACCCAGCAAATTGGGTTGTTTATTTAACCCAGCATAATGTGTTGATTTAACCCAGCTAATGGGTTTATTCATTTTTACTATATTACTAGCTTATTTTTTTTTACTTCATATAAATCATGTTTATAGATTAACTTAAATCCTCTAAACTTTTCTAAAATACTCCACACAACCACTAGTTTGCATGATAACTTCCTTTATTTTCCTTTATTTATCATTTACAGCATTGTTTATATCGTTTTTAATAGGCTATACATATTGCCTATATTTAAACTTGTTTAACAAGCATTAGAAGAAAAATTCAACATTAAACACAAGTAATTCATGTGTAATCGACCAGTCTCTGTTATTCTTTTTTCACCGTAACGGCGCTGGTTCTCGTGCCCGAGCTGGAGTCAT